AGGAGTTGACGAGTCAATGAATCAAATATTCTCGTCACTTTTCTCCACGCGGATGCATTCACTTAAGCGATGAGCTACACACCATTTGCGATTACTTTGATAAGTCTTATTAGAAGGAAACACTAAAATCATCCGTGACCAGCCTAAAGTGTAAAATTCCTCTTTAAATCATTCAGTGGTTAATATAACATTCGTAATAGTTAGCATTGCACAGTAAATGTGATAAACAAAGAAATAGAATTTCATTGATTTGGAGCCAGTGAATGTGTAAGGCGATAAAAAGGGGGTTGACTAAAGACGGAAAGATTGGTGATCAAAGAGTAGCGTGAAGAAAACCATGCGGACGCACTGAGGTAAGCGAAACAACAAACCATAAGTCGTAAGCAAAGTCGAGCAACGAAACTTCAGTAGGTGTGTGTATTTTCTTGAGGGGGTGGCGAGTGACAGAGACGTTTGAGCGATGATGTGTGACAAAACAGACGGAACAGGTAGAAAACGCGCTGCGTCGAAAAGTAGTGAGAAAATTCGGATGTTCGATAAACAGGTCCGAAGAGCGGACCGAGTGAGACAGATATGAGCACCGCCTCGTGAGACCGGGAGAGGAGACAAACGACGAAGGAATGACGTAAATGAAATACACCACAGCACACAGAGATACGAACCGAGGTTAAGTCAACCACACGGTGAAAGACTATGGAAAATATGAATTCGTCAGATGGTTACTGTCGCCGTTATTGCTCTAATTGTTGTTGTTCATACTGGGGGAAGAGCGCACGACAGAACCACATGAGAGGAGTGGGGCTGATAAGAGCGTTCATTCACTCACTCACCCCGGTTGTCACGAATATAACTCTGAGGAGTCACATACGCATTGGATCGGGTGACGAAGGCACGGTGTATTGGTGAACCGACTAAATTCCGATCCAGTGGGTGATTGGACGAGGGGAATGATGAACGGTAAACACGAAGTAGAACAAATTCAATAATCTTCTAGGCTGTTTCCTATTCTTGTCCAAAACCTTCGGTTTCCTCAATGGCCATAGTCAGTTTGGATTTCAACTGTTCATATGATCGATATGGCGGTAGATCTAGGCGATTGAAACACGTGTGGCTGCGAGGTAACCAATCCTCGGTGCCTATGCGCTCAATACAGAACGGCCGTAGACCTTCGTTTCCTAAAAGATCGATTCAGATAAAAAATGGATATGTACGTAAGTGAAGCAAATTAACCAAAAAAACTTGGTGAGGTTCACATGAAGATAGGGTAGTATTGCCTCAGCAGGTTGAACTGCGCAAAGGATAACGGTCTCCGTATTCGGTAAATATACGCATGACCAAAAACCTTCTACATGATTTAGATTTCTTGCAACTTGTTTGGGACAACAGTATGAGGAAACATGGGAAAATTGGGTAAAAATAAAAACAATTGTTTGTGACGTCAATGATCATGTTTAATTATTCTCAAATTCATTGTAAGTCATCCCGTAGATCTCATGCTTTGTAAGAAAACTCGTAATTACCCGCCAGGTGCTATCATCAATTGACGATAATAAGATTTCGCGCTCGACAACTCTGAAAGGAGACTGAAACCCATTAGCTTCAATCATAGCCTTCCAACAAACGTTGCATGTTCAGGTACTCATGCCTAGATTCAATTTTCAATTAGAATGCCTGGAAGTAGTGGCACGGGATACATGTAAAAAAAGACAGACTAATACAAAAAATATCAAAATGTGTACGATGAAATACAAAAAATGGTTATTCCAGTTATCTACCATTTACCATATATNATATATATATATATATATATGCAAATATATATTTGTCTGATCACCCTACATTTTGTGTTTTGACTAGATGTACGAATGGTACGAGCGCCTCTTGCCTAACCTCCAAAAACAAATCAGAGGAGAACACAACTCAAGCCAAAGATCAGAGTGTGTTCGTGTATATAGGATAAATCAGGCTTACAGGAACAGCAGTGACGAACCAATCAGACAACGTCCTTGACATTCCGATTGATCGGTTGGACAACTTCTGCAGTCATCCAGCCCGAACTTCGCTCTTCTTGCTCATCATTAGCGTGCTTGTGGCGTGACGCAGATGCCACCGTGGCCTGACGGGTTCTTTGAGCTCCGACCTAACACTTCACAATGTCTAAACGCACCATCCACAGTTGGGGAGGGTGGGGCACCCGGAAGCACCTATGATTCGGAGGGTTGTCGGCCTCTTTGGGGCGTCCTCCATCCTTGAGGCTCCACCAGACGCTTTGCTCCCACCTGTGGCTCCAGGAAGCTGTCTGAATGCAACAACAGTCACCCCGGTAAAGCACTCGATAGGCGGACCAAATCAGGTTGAGAGTAAACGGAAGTTCAAATTTCAGTGAGTTGGTGTCTCACGTATGAATGTAGTATTGGTACGTCGGTCGGACGAAGTTGCTTACACGACCCAACGGCCAAGTCAATGACTGTACTCACCAGGGATGCATGGACCCCTATTCAGTTAGAAACTCAATGGCGTATCAGCCCCCTCCCAGAGGGTCACCGGCAACCATGTACGACCTTCCTGCTGCACTGTTAGCACTTTGATGTGCAAAGGCTAGAGATGCCATCTCGACCTAAGCCCAGCTGATGTTGGGGACGTTTCCTGTACATAACTCCAGGAATTATCATGGATTTTCACTCAATTTGTCTCGCTAATCATGTGAGGGAGTTCCCGGGCAGCGCCGCGCCATGTGCTCCTCTAGTAGCTCAGGTGACAAGTATACGCACTGAACACCTTAAACTACGCTTAACTTCTTACACCAGATGCTGGAAACCAAGAACACTTAGAGGCGCTAACGATACATGCGCTGCATGCCTATCAGCGTCAGCTGAATATTACAAACCTATGTGAAGTCAGATTAGCGGGTTCCGGCTCCAAAAGCGTCAAAATTCCTATTATTGATGGTCAAAACTGGCCGTAATACAGCGGCAATAAAAAGTCGAGTCAACATGGAGTTGCATTTGCTTTAAGCCATAGGGCTAATAATGCTTTATTTTTCTGGAAACCAGTATCCTCTGGGATTGAAGCAACACGATTCAAGGGCCATCTAGCGAAGCTCACAGTATTCATCGTCTGTGCCCCGACTCTCCCATCTGAAAATAACGTCGAGGATGAGTTCCATCACAGCTTTCAGTCGTTTGTTGATGAAGTATCCAAGCGGGATGTCCTTGTCACTGTTGGGAACTGGA